TGACACTTCCCTGTACGATTTGATCGATCTTTCTCGCGCACACATTTTATATTCTTGTTCACTTCACTGGGTCTGCGATAAGCAGCACCCACAAACAGTTCACCCTGTCTCAGGCGGATCGAGTATTATAACTGTCCACACAAGCCATCTTCTCTACTGTAGGTCTGTATTCGTCCCGCACAGTGAGGACCGAATGTATAACAGCACGCCGCCTCGCTCGTTTGATAGTCTGTCGCATCGGAAGCACGAGTAGCCACTGATCTGAACTTCCTGGGTAGTGTCCTCAAGATTTAACCATTTTTCGGCCAGCCCTACTACGGCCGAGCGACTTGAGGCAACGATGTGTAATACATCGTCACATTTGTTCATTAAACTACAAACATTTCTGCGGGCTATGCGCAGGCCGTGGTAGGAACCGGCAGACGCACACGAAGCGTCATTAGTCTGTTTATCCGGGTTCGGCGGACCCGGGGAACTACTTGAAAATTTATGATGTGGAGATTTGTTTCTCCACTATCAGTCCGCCGCTTCAACTCCACGATAGCGGACTTCAGTTTTTCTCTGTCCGACGGATCCAAATCGGGACGAATATTGCTCTTTAGACCTCTTAGCTTACCATGGCGGGATAGTATCAGCCTCGGACTCGTTGTATCGACAAAGGTGACTCGCTATGACCGGGATTTTCCCTCCTCACATTTCCCAAGACGGGTGCTTTGCTTTACCCGTCGAGAAGCCTATCAATCAGGCTGTGCAGAAAATCCACGTCGTCGTAACGAGCCGGAGGACTAGCATCCGTCGACTCAGGCGCGTGAAATATCATAAAGTTACAACGCCACTGATTGCTGGCATTGGTCCTTTCCTTTTTGCTTCGCTGCATTCTGCATTGGCCTTCAACGCCTGCACTATCGAACACTGGTATGTTAGTGTCCGTAGGACGCAACACATGCACGCCAGCTGAGTCTCCAGCAACGGGTGGACATTGCGCTGCAGAGCCTACAGCCGGTGGGCAGGTGAGTTCGTTCGAACATAGAGATGGCTGGGTTTTCGCTTGCTTGGATGAACGCACGGAGCTCCATCCTATGGAATGTTTCGCCCGGCTCGCGCGGCTACTCGGCTGTTTATGACTGCACAGTGGCTTGGCATTTCCTGCACAATATTTGGACACATTTATGCTGGTTATCACGCAGTAGTTTAAAATGATCTAAAGACAATCCAATACACGAAATGTGGCAATTCACACCACACATGAGGCCCATAACAGCATTTGCTCTATGCCCAACTATTTTGCAATAAGCGTCACAGGAAGTCAGTTTTGTCATTACTGATAGCTTAGCAAATGTGACGGTAAGGGTGATAAAGTGCACGATAAAAGTACCGGAGAAAAACATATGGATACGAAACTGATACACAATAACCAAATTCAGAATCTCAAAAGAAACTAACTTTGACCAAAAATAAACACGAAAAATTTGCTCTGCACAAAGTACTGTACGATGCAAACTGGCCTGTCAAATAGCTTGAGAAAAACCGTCCCGCGAGCGCTATTTGCCGTCAGCCGCTATCTGTTTTGATATTTTGTATAAAAGTCGCAGCTTAGTTCTTGTAGCTAAACAATCGTTTCCAACGCGTCGGTCCGGTTGAAATGTTCTTCGAAAGAATCCACTCATTGTGCTATCCTGCTTGATTGTGAGTCAATTATGCTTCCCTATCAACCGATGAATACCTTGAAATTCGGCTTAATATCGCTGCTAAGTGCATTTGGTGAACCAGCTTGTTTGAATTTGTGCATTTCGCTAAAACCCGAAACTTGAGCCTATTGTATGAGCACCGCTGTTCTAAATTGTCCGAAGATCTTGCACTAATGTACTCTCTGTAGCCGTTGAGAATGTGCCTGATATCGTTTCTTGACTGCCATTCATCCAATGTACGCTTCCTAAGTCGTTTCCAACTTTTGCGCCCTCAACGTGATGTTGGCCGATGCACAACTTGGGAGATTGATCATCGTAGTGCTAAAGTATACACTGAAGTAGCAATGGCCGTAAGGAGTACTACCATTTTGCGCACTAAAAGTCGTTTTAATGAGAAGAGATAGCTTCTAACCGGATCATTTCTTGACAATGCTTTGATTGCTGCAGGCTGAAGCGGATATCGATACAATGCAAAATGAGCTATGAGTTCGCTTATCGCGATACAATCGCGAATCCCACTCTGAACTGTTTTTTACTACCTGCATGTCTGTTGATAGCAATTCTGATGCCTTAAATTCCACAAATCATAGATTCTTCCGCCTTATTTATCATCATCCACATTACACATTAGCTGAAGGTGCGAAACACGCTTCAACTATTGTGCTGCAATACAGATAATATATAGGAAAAAACGAGATAGTACACGTTATCGAATGCAAAATAATAACACGTAACATAGTGCTTAGTAACACATTGTGTTTCAAGACAGAGATCATGTTTGGGGTGGATGATAAGCGTGGTGGGAAACGACAAGGTAACTCACAAAATAGACGTCACTGAGGTCGACTCCTCGACATGTCAACAAGTGGATCCGACCAGATGTGTCTATTGCTCTCCAGACCCCAACCTGTCACTCCGCAGATATCAACCAACGCCAAATTCGAAATGTGGGTTTTCATTCCCCTGGACCGAGTTATCGCTTGGCCTCCTTTTTTTCTCTCCAGTTCCCTGCCTGCCCGTTGCCTACAGGTAACAAGCTTATCTCGTAATCTGACGGCGCGGGTTCGAGCCTTCGTAGGGGCAGATCGACCCTCGCAGTATCCTTAGCCCACCCGCAACCGGTTTGGTTGCGCGGCAGCGTGTTACAGAGAGTCAGCGCACAAGCCGGGAAGCGTGGCGTAACAGTGGGTCGATCTCCAACTAGAGATCGAATGCGAGTAAAGATGTGTATCTGTGTGGAATCAACGGCAAGTCGGACCATGGACTTGAACTGTTTGATTTGTTGTAATTAATATTAATTAGCATCTCCAGTTTTGGTGTGTTAGGGGTTTCCTACAACCTATTGATTGCGCCATGGTCTCATAAAATCAGAATCGAAATCCCTCAGTCCGGCTGGCCTTGGCGTTCTCATTTCGTTGCGGGTTGAACTGGTTGTTGGCGGCACAACTGATTCAGGTAGGTTAACCGTACATTCAGCGACAACCACAACAGATATCTGGCGACGGTCCTCTGCGCGGTAGCAGCAGGTTAGTCCGTACATTCAACGGAAACCACAACACAGCGAAGCTTCGGTACCGCGTACCGGCGTAGTGCTGATACCTTCTTATCCAGATCGCAGTTACATACGACGCGGAAGTCGATGTGCTGACATGCGCAACACCTGGCCCAGCCATTGGAGCTTGTTGCCTGATATAACTGTGCTGAGCGGTGCATTCGCACTTCCTGCACCAAATACACGACGCCGAACACGCTCACTGGTCACGCGGTGTTCCGACCGGACATGAGCTAAGCCGCAAAGGCAGTGGTAATCGAACTTAACAACCCAATTTATGCATGTCGACCTGCTGAGCCAGATTTCGCAGCTGTAGAGAAGGGTCCGACGGACGACCGCATTGTATACTCTGCCTTCTAATGGGAGAGTGATGTCACTCCGGCGCTACAGATGGCGGAGATTGGTAAAAGCGCCTCAACCGTTTGTAACAAGGTTCATGGCCTTATCTTCTATTTCGCAGACGCTAATATGGCTACCTAGATACTTGAATTTCTGAACGACTTCTAACTGTTCACCACCAGGCGTCAGCACATGAGGGGGTACCTACCAAAGTTGGAGAAGGAATTTGCATTTAGAGGGTGCAAAACATAGTTTAAAGCGACTGACAGCCAGTGCTAATCTGTCCGATGATTCTTGGTACGTTAGAGATCTCTCATATATAAGGACAATGTCGTCAACGCACCCTAGGTCAAGAAGTTTTCACCGGGAATCAGCCCCACACGTTGTAGATCGTGCCTAGTGAATGTAGTCTCTATGACTTCGTTTATGGAGAAGACAAAAAGAAAAGGTGACAGCGCGCACCCCTATCTCACACCGCTGAGTAAATTGAAGTGCGGCGACAGCTTGCCTGCAGCCTTTACTCTGCCCGTACTGCGAACATATAGCGCCCTGATAATATTTACGCACTTTTAGGGCACACCTTTCTTGAGTAGACAGTCCCAAAGGACACATCGACCCACGGAATCGAAGGCACCTTTGTTGTTGGGGAACACGACTTCGGTGGATCGCCGATAAATATGGCAGTGCTCCAACACTTGAGCTGATGTGAAGTTATGACCAGTACACCCGCGATTTCGACGAAATCCAGCTTTCTTCTCATGAATCTGGCTTTCACTTGTGTCAGCAACTATATGACGCATGACAGAAGTGAGTATCTTAGAGGCTACTAAGATCAGACTGACGAAATGTTGGCAACCTATGAAACTTAGGACTATAACGGAGCGGCTCCAGTCGGCTGGGGCAGTTTTGCTCTCACGGCTTCGCTAGTAAGTTGTGCAGATCATATACAAGAGCAGGTTCCCCATACTTGCAGAGAGCTGGATGAATTCGGACCACTTCTCCGGCTTTATTCACAGTATCCTCACAACATCTTTAGTCCACGCACGACTGGTGGTGGCTGCGTGGCAGCGAAGCGTAGGTACGGCGTACTGCTTGCTCATGTAGCTGCTGGCGCTTATGCACTGATGCCTGCGTTCTGTCTTATAATTTGCTTTGCTCGACCCGCCTGTTAGCTCTTACAGTAAACACCTTATTTCTACACCATAGCATTTTTCATAGTCATATATCGTTTTTTGGGAGCTGTCTCAATCCTAAATGCTGTCCTGTGGCTTTTACTTCTCATGTTTGCCCCGTCTTTATCCTCTCCTTTCTCATTAATGGTACAATTTTAGTCGTGTGGTGGCTCAGTACCAGTTCAAGGTGGTGACGTCCTATTGTCATTGATGATCGTCTCCATCGTTCTCCTTGTTTTATCATTCCAGTCGCGTACGGCCGGCGTTCTCCGACCACCACGTCGATGATCATCTTGACGAAGAGATTCAATCTCATGAAGCCCTCTTTCCTCCGGACTATGGATCCCCTGTAAATATTTTTTTTCCGCCTTACAAAGGTAGCAGATTAGAAAGCTGTCAAGTCTGGATATATTTCTACTCCTCTTCAACCTCCTCACTCTCTTGCTATTCATTAGGCTTTTGTTCTCATACTAATTCCCTTGTTCTTTTTCACGTGCATCTCACTTTCGTTCGCATTATGGCATGATTCTTGTGTTTTCCTTAACAGAAAGTAGCTTTTAACTCCCTCACATGTGCGCTTACGTTACGTACTATCATCTTTCGTGCATAGAATACCCTCGTCATAGTATCCAACAGCTGTTTCTGTGGCTTCTTGTTCTACGCGGAAAGCATAGCAGATACATTTGCAGAGTTGCACACTCCCGGGCGCTTCCCCGGGTTACGAATTGGGAACTATCTTCTCGTGGAGAAAACTGTGATGAGATCTCGTTTACCACAAAATCGAGATGAATAGGCAGTCGCGGACAGTCTCAGTGCGTGGGAAGTTCTAGGCTGATCACCTGATTCTCCATTACATATCACAGAATCTCGTACGTGACTGTGTCTAATCCATTGTGGTCGCCTATTGGGTCAGTGACCATTCATTTTTATAACTGTGTGTACTTAACAGGGAGCCAATAAACAACCTTGTTGGCCACCGGCTTCTGGGTGGATTACATCGGACACTCAGAATGTCTATGATCCATTTGATTGTCATCTGTCTTCATATTCAGCGGCGAGTTCGATGTCCTAGGGAAATTTTCCTTGACTCTATTACTTTTCTAGATTGTTCAGGTGTTCCTAGTTGTTTGTCATTACTCTAAGTCGTATTATGCAGAATTTGCTTCCTAACCGCAGATGGTCAGTTATATACGGTAATCGCCGAGTTGCCTTATGAATGAGGTTTTTACCACCTATGGCCTTTACTGTCTGCTTTTCTCTTTTCTAATCTCTTTGTTTAATTCTTTTTTATCGCCGAGCCAACAGTTAGAATCACATTATGCAGATCGCCACTTATCCGCAGTGTCGACTTTAACGTTTCGGCTGATGTTTGCTATCCTTTAGTCACTTTCCGATTCTGCTACTGTTACTCTCCTTATTAAGATCTGACACTGTGGCGTCTCCGGCTGCTGGCCTCACGGAGGTTTGGCGGGACAGTTATTTCCTGTGACGTGTCCGACGTTACTGCTATCTTCACTCTGTGGTTTATACTGATTTAACTCATGGCTTTGGTACATTTGTTCAACGTATTTGCACCAAGAGCACACGTTTATCTATTGAGCCAACAGTCCTCGTTGATGATCTAGAACAGGTATCGGATTGGATTCGTGTTCTGCTCGAATTCCTGACGTTCCTTTCATGACTGAGAGGTCGAAACCTTCTGTTTGTTGTTGAAATATTTGCCTCCTTGACATCTTTAAATGCACATCTCACTCCTTCTAATCCATTTTGTTACGGAAAGCATCGCCAAACGCACTTTTTTAACCTCTGGCCCAACGAGAATGAAGTTGCTGTCGGAAAGGAGGAAGATGATTACCTGGGTCAAAACGAAGAACATGAACATTGCGACCGGTATGTCAGTGATCTCAACGATACAATTCATCCGAAGTACCAGTCCAATAAAACTCCAGAGGATGAAGAGGCAGTTGATCATGCTACCAACACGAATACTCCGCTTCAGCTACCATTCAGCACTGTGGGAGTGAGCGGGGATCGGTTGACGCATCTATTCGTGGAACTTCGTGAACGGGCCGATTTGGATTTATTCCGAGTCCCTCTTAGCAATCTTGGTTCCGGCGATGCATGCCCTTCCTCCCAAGTGCAATCTTCTTTGTTTGATGCCGATGCTCTCAGTGACGAATTGGAACGGCACGAAAAAATCCTAAAGGAGTTTGACGACTTCGTGGTCGGCTTTTGCCACCTAGAATCCTTTGGTCCCGAGATTCGTCCTCTGGCTCCGAATCCGCTAGCCACCGCCCTTCCAACCCACTACAAAACTGAGCAGTAGTAGACACCACCTTTACATTCTTCCTCCTTGGAAGATTCGACGTTCACCTTTGGGCAAAAATGTGGCGTTTTCTGCAATCAGTTGTCGCACTTTGCTTTCAAATAGGGTGAATTCATGGTTTTATTCCCCCAGAGCATTCGCATTCATCATTGCATCATTTTTGTGCGTTTCACACTGTGATGTCGAGCATTACCCAAAATATCTGTGTTTGCAGCTTTTCCAGTGTTTGTTTGTTGGTATATTGGCTGAGTATTCTCTGTGCTAGACAAACAACTGGATTGTTGACTTCTCACTTGGAATCACATGAACACTTACTTGAATTAGTTGATGTCATTTTTTACCTTTCATTTTCGAAGGAACGGACATTACCCAGATAATGGTAGTTAAATCTCTCCCTTGTCGTGATAAATTGTTTGTTTCTACTTTGCTACTTGTTCTTCCAAGGCTTTTCATTGCACCAAACCACAAATTTCGAGAGCAGCTGGATTTTTGCAGCATGGGCATCACTTCCTTTACCTTTCAGGTTACATTTACTACTCGCGTATTGGAGAGTAGTATGATTATTTACCTAAATCACCTGACCGATGCTTGCATTTACTAGTCAACGATTATGTCGCGCGTTGCGCATATTTCAAGATGTGCTGCTTGTCTGAAGACATCAATGTGAATTAGATCCAGCACTCTACCGTGATATGCTCCATGCGGTGCTGGTTGAACGCATAGTCCCGTTGCTTTCCCTTTCGTTCCACTAATGCAAGTGGTTATTCGGTTGATTTTGTATTCTTACACGCATTAACCCAATGCTGTGTGCCGCTGTTTTCCCATCTGTTCCCCCTCCCTTGTTGTTACTCATGTTACTTGGACTTTCTCTTTGTAGCATTAAGTCTATTGTTTCATTCGACACCTTCTTATTTGGCCATTTCTTTCGGCCTATTTCACAACAGCATACACCACACATTGGACACAAACAATTCCAGTACCATTCATTCCACACTACTGTTCGTTAGTCTTATTGTGAGAAGCGCTCTCATTTGACACTCATTGACATGTTATGCGTTGGCTTGTAATACAAGGTTCTTCATTCTTTTTTAAGTTTGTACAATTAATTTTCTCTTCACACTGGTAGCGCACTTGAGTGGAGCTTCCTTCCACTGTTATCTGTTGATTTCTGCGACAACTTATCTTTTGGTTATCTAAGCATCTTTCAGTGAACTTTACTCCTTCAGTGTATATTAGCACAGTCTGAATTTGCTTTTTCCCGCAGGATCTGAAATTCAATTTTTCGCTCCGTAGTGTGCGGCTTCTAGTCACAACTTCGTTTTCTTGGTCTTCACTAGTTTGGACCGGTTGCAAAACGGCCCACCAAGTCGACAGACATAAAGAAGCTATTCACGTTCGATCACCGCTGCCTTCGCAGCTTAGCTCATGTCTGGTAAGAAAATCGCATGACCAATGTGCGTGTTCGTCTTCGCGTATTTGGTGCAGGAAGAGCGGGTGCACCGCTCAACACCGTTATGTCAGGCACCACGCTCAGATGGCTTGGCCACGTGTTGCGCATGTCAGCCCACCGACTCCCGCGACATGTGTTTTTTGCGCGCCGGGGGTATGAATGGTCGAAGAGGAGGGGAATCCAATCTATGACTTGTTTAGAAGGAATGAACTCACTCACTTCGAAGTTGATGTATTCTGACTGTCTGGCTTGGGACCGAAGGATGATGAACACTTTTGGTTAGATACACTAATTGACTTGGCGAATAATCGACCTCAATGGCGTTTGCGTTGTGAATCTTTTTGTCCCCCCTTTCCTCTTAGCTTCCCCATTATGTTACTTTTTTCAGAGCTTTTAAGTCTACATTGCTTATTGTGTCTTTTGTATTATGGCACATTAGCTGAGGTGTGTTTCTCACCCTCAGCTAACGTGTGTCGTTGATGATGAACGGACCGGCATTCCTAATTTTAATAACTGAATACTTGGTTTCATGATCTAACGCTGTTATCTAGCATTGCACCATAGTTCTTTCTTTATGGCAGTGATCAGCGTTCTGTTGGGCAGGCAAATGTCAAATCTTGAGTGTGCAGATGATCTGTTTCTGTTTTGACTGGACTCAACTACCCTGCAAGCGTTCCTGAACTGACTACAGCCTTACGCTGTAGGCATCGCTAGGGGCTTTACATCTCCAAAGTGTAAGTTTCTGTTACACATCTTGGCGGGTACACCACCGGTTTTCAATACAAATAAATAAATAAATTGTCTCTTTGACAGTGCTTACAAATCGGATGTTGTTGTCCTTAGTGGAGATCTCAACGCATGGGTTGGTCGTCTATCAACATATGGCAGTCACCTCGGTGGTCACCATGTGCTCGGTGAGAGCCGCTCAGATAATGGAGAAAACGTTCTTACACTGTGTGAGGGTAATCATCTTTTTCTCTTGAGCACCATCTTTCGGCATTCGAGGAGACGTTCCACAACTTGGCGACCCTCTTCTGCGTTTCAATCATGGTCTTAGATCGATCATATCGCAATCAGTCTCAGATTGAGGGGTTGTGTGAAGAATTGCGGATCCAACTGGTCCACTCTTCTTGACTCAGACCATGCTCTTGGTTGTGCGAACGTCTACATGAGTTTCGGTGGATCCCTGAAAAGGAAGCAGTATGACCTATGTACAGATAAACTATCTATCCCTTCGGTTTATCAGGGATATCAAGCTTCGCTGGCCGATGCATTTAGCCGTGATCCACCACAAAACATGGACGGACATTGGACGTTCATAGAGAAGACCATGATCGCTTCAAATCCTTCAGTCTGGTGTTACTCAGCACCCTATGAAGGTCTGGATCTCCACGCGCTCTCTGGATCTATTCGATCGCCGCAAAAGCATTCCAAATACGTCACGTTCGACACGAAAGCGCAGCATTTTATCTGCACGTTCTCAGTCAGATAATACCAGACCCGTCGAAGAATCATGTTGGTATCACCGCCAATATGGTGGAAAAGCTAGACCTTGTCACGCTCCCTGCAGTAGGCACGACTCAGTTGCTTCAGAAACAACAAATAGCCCGCATACTGTACGACCAACACATTCATCAACTACCAAACATATCGCCTGTTTTACGTTGGTTAGACGTTCATCCATCGCCTTCCTCATCGACACGGGAGTGGAAATCAGTGTTATCCTTGCGAACGCGAACGACAAGTACTCAAAGCCCATGTACAACCTGATTGCGGCCAACGGTTCTCTGATAGCTTCATTCGGTCTGCACATGATGAACCAGTACTTCGATCTCCGCCGAGATTTTCAGTGGGTTTCCATGGTTGCGTCTGTACCCTACTCAATTATCGGTATCTACTTCCTCCGACCTATTTTGGTTGCTTGTTGATGCTGATCGCCACAGATTTTTAGACGACCGTACCAAACTAAGAGTTGAAGGCGTTATTTCAGATGCCTCGATAATCAGTCCCGTTTTTCGAATCGCCGATGTAGCTTCAGATTATGTGAACCTACTGTCTGAATACCCGCGACTGTTACGAATAGCTGCAGAGCTTTCGTCAGTCACGACAGAGGTCGCTCATCACATTGTCACGGGCGGTCCGCCAACGAGTGATGGACCAAGACGACTCACCTCCAACAAGTTACGTGTCGCAAGAGCTGACTTCGATCACTTGCTTCAGCTCGGTTTGATCAGACCATCCAACAGCCCATAGGGTCACCTCTCCATATGGTTCCAAAGAAGACCATAGGAGACTGGCGTCCTTGTGTCTATTATCGTTCCCTTAACAACATGACCGCACCTGATCGCTATCCTATCCCACATATGGTGGATCTTACCGCCTGTCTGGCAGGTAAAAACCTTTTCAGTAGAATCGACTTTGTTCTCGATTTCAACCAAATTTCGGTAGCCGAAGCAGATATCGCTAAAACTGCAGTGATGACCCACTCTAGTTTCCACAGGCCGTGTTCGACACTTTGCACGGCTTGTCTCACCCAGGCGTTTGTGCATCGGTTAAACTCGTAACCACACGATTCGTCTGGCGCCATATCAATCGCAACGTTCGTAATTGGGCCGCTGCTTGTCTTCCATGTCAACGAGCGAAGGTACACAAGCACACCAAAAACCCATTAGGCACATTTCCGATGCTAGACGCACGTTTCCACCACGTGCACGTAGACCTCGCAGGTCCTCCGTCGCCTTCGAAAGGCTCTGTACAGCCACGGACCTATAGCGACCCATTCACCACGTGGCCAGAGGCTATTCCGATTACGAACTTCTCTTCGGAAACAGTAGCAAAGGCATTTTTGCAGCGGTGCGTGGCTCTGTACGGCCGTCCCATCATCGTGACCACCGATCGAGGGTCACATTTCTCGCCTACTTTTGCCACGTTGCTTATGGATTTAGGCTGTCAGCACGTTCAGACGATGGCGTATCATCCAGCCGCTAACGGCATGTGGGAGCGTTTTCATTGCCCGTTAAACGTAAAGCAACGTGCGCACGCAGCTCCTTCATGGTTCGAAACCCTTCCCCTCGTTCTTCTAGGCTTAGGAAACACGATTAAAACCGATTTCGACACAACCCCACTACAGCTAGTCTACGGCTGTATGCTGCGGTTGTGCGGACAGTTGCTAGTACCAGCCTCGTCTACTTCCTCCTTTGCTTTTGGAAACTACACCGGTTGACTGGCTCACCAGACACACCCACCCGCTTCACGGTGGCAGAAGTCACCGGTGTATGTGCTCGGAGGACTGTCCATTTGTTCACACATACTGCTTGGCGTAGACGGTGTTCGACAGCCTCTGCAGTCGCCGTACATCGGACCTTTCAAAGTAATCAACCGAAGAAGTAAGTGCACGAAATCAACTGCGAATATCGAAAGGCACACGGCGGACTGCATTCGATGGACTACAAAAGACGTGAACGGATTAAGGGAGACAGAAGCAACAAGTATACTGAATGCTGCATTATAGAACAAGTAGAAAGGAATTCTATACAACTCTTTCGAAATATGGTGAAAAACGTTATAAAAATTATCACCCGAGAATATCGTTATCGTTCTGCTGTAAAATTTCAAATATCTGACTCACGATATTGCAGAGCTCACAAATGTGACATGTCATCGTGCAATCGTTCTCTGAATCAAATATTGGTAAGATATAGATGTAACAACGTCGGAACTGCTGCACAGTTGTTGCCTCCACCACATGTTCTGGCAAACTGTTCCAAATATGTACCACTCTCCGTTCGAAGCACAGCGGGTGGGGAACTAGCTTCATATCCGGCACGACAAGTTCATATCTGTGTCCGCGTGTGCAGCATGGCCCTCTTAAATGCAGCTTGGGCCTCAGCATGGGGAAGTCACCGAGAAGTAGAATACGGTAGATCATCATGAGGTCGACTCGCACCCGACGGTAGGACAAGGTTTAGAGTCCTATTTTCTTCAGTGATCTTCATACCCCAAGCCTGGTAGCAACGTGTTTAACCCCTTTGATCTTTTGTGCTTCGCCTCGGGTAATCGGAAAGTAGGCGGACGAACCGTACTCTAGCATTGGTCTAATGATGGAAGAGAAGAGACGTGTGGCAATCTCTTCAGACCATGTGCCGAAGCTACGTTTGAGCGCTCAACTCATGCGCAGTCCGTTTGTTGTTCACGGACTTCAAATCGTAGCGCGAAAGTACACCTAGGTCCTTCACGGTGAGCGTGGGATATAGCGGTTGGCCGTCAAAGTTGTAGGTTCGGCCGTCAGCACCCTCCCCATGCTCATACATACAGACTTGGCTGGGTTGACCGGGAGATGAACTTCTGCAGACCATGTGGATAGGCGGTTGAGGTCTTGCTGAAGTGCGCCACAGTCGTCGGGAGCATCAGTTTCTCTCCAAATCTTCATGTCGTCCACAAACAGCACACTGTGACAGGAGAGGCTGAAATGGATCGTTGATATGGATCAAGAACAGAGTGGGCCCCAGCACAGTGCCTTGAGGCACGCCACTAGTAGAGGGATACCAGTCAGTTAGATGGTTGTCGATCTGTACCCTCCACTTTCTTCTAACTAGAAAGTCGCGGATCTACCAATGCAGTGTGCCACCGATACTACACATCTTGCGTTGGTGAAGGAGAACCTCATGGCTGACCTTGTCGAACGCTTTACTGAAATCGGTGAATATCACGTCGACAGACTTCCCTTTGCTTATTACCTTCAACCACTCATGCCTCGTCACAAGCAAGTTTGTGATGCATAATCAGCCTTGCATACAACCGTGCTGGGAAGGCGTCAGGACATCTTTTGACTGTAGCAACTGCACTAATCCCCTCTTCAC